ATACATTTCAGTTTGTCCTAGAGGACTCGTAAGCATAGTTTAGTCTTAAGCATAGAAGTTTAGTGAATGCTCCATTTCCTTTCCTTTACTCTCCCTACCATAGTGTTTCCCCCTTCACCCACTGGAAATTTAGCCTTGAAATAAAATCTGAGTGAATGAAACTCACAAAATTTTACTTCCACTATCCATTTTCACCTCTACCCTGTACTAGTGTGTTAAGCATGTTCATGATTCTGGAGCCTCAGTGATCATTTTCAGTGAAATACTTAAGAAATGGTGTCCTTTTTAAAAGCCTTAGTTTGGTGTAAGAAGCTATCTCTGCTATTTGCATGCTATAAATTAGCCTCCTATTATAAAAAAACTTATTAGGACACTTATTTTTCAGTGACCCATATCCCTCAAAGTTTTAAGAGTTAAATTTCCCTTAAGAAATTACAAATCAGGGGCTGGGAAGGTGGCTCAGTGGTAGAGCGCTTGCCTTGCATGCCTGAGGCCCTGGGTTCGATTCCTCAGCACCACATAAAAAAAAAAAAAAAAAAAAGAAATTACAAATCAGATACTTAACTCTGTGTGTGTGTGTGTGTGTGTGTGTGTCTCCAAATTTTGTTACTTGAGAAATGCAATTTCACAAGTCAACAGTAGAGAACTAAAAAGTTAATTTGTTTTTCTTTGGAGTAATTTCTTCCAAGTTTGTCTTTTATGTTCTGTATTTTATTTTTATTTTTATTATTTATTTATTTGTCAGTCATGGTGACTGAACTCTGGGTCTGGGCACTGTCCCTCAGCTCTTCAGCTAGCACTCTACCACTTGAGCCACAGCACCACTTCCAGCTTTTTCTGCTTACGTGATGCTGTAGAATCCAACCCAGGGCCTCATGCATGCAAGGCAAGCACTCTACCACTGAGCCACCTTCCCAGCTCTTTATTTTTAAACAATAACTATACATATTTATGGGATACAGTATGATACTTTAATGTGTGTATAAATGTGTTCCAAGTTTCAGGTATAGTATTAATACTTAACTGTATGTTTAAGACAGGATTGCCTGCCTGCTTTCTTTCCTGCCTTTCTTGTCTGTCTTTCTTGTCTGTTTGTCCTTCCTTCCTTCCTTTCTTCCTTCCTTCTCCCTCTCCCTTTCTTTTTCCCGCTCCCTCTCCATCTCTCTCCTGTCTCTACCTCCCCTCCTACCCCCCCTCTCCTTTCCTTTCTTTTGGTGCAGTTCTGAGGTTTGAACTCAGGGCCTAAGTGCTGTCCCTGAGCTTCTTTTGCTCAAAGCTAACTATGACTTTAGCCATAGCTCCACTGACAGATTGTATTTGACAAACTAAGCAGTGATTTGGGTAATCACCTCAGTGTTGGTGGGCATTGTGACCATTCATTTTGCTATAGGGCTGCATGTGAACTCATTGAGGAAAATGTTAATTGGTAATAAGCCATATTAAAAAAAAAGGCTGGGCTGGGAAGGCGGCTCAGTGGTAGAGCGCTTGCCTTGCACACATGAAGCCCTGGGTTCGATTCCTCAGCACCACATAAGCAAAAAGAAAAAAGCCGGAAGTGGAGCTGTGGCTTGAGTGGTAGAGCGCTAGCCTTGAGCTGAAGAGCTGAGGGACAGCGCCCAAGCCCAGAGTTCAGGACCCACGACCGGACCCCCCCCCCAAAAAAAAAGGCTAATAGTGATTTGAACCTAGCCATAATAAATTTAAAAGATAGGAGAGAAATATGCTACTGTGGTGTGATTGAGTCTGGATTTTGCTGTGATATTTAAGTTGTCACTGGAATTGTAGGGAGGGAGGCCTTGGATCAGTGTCTTTTAGACTGTTACTTTGTATTGTTAATTAAACTTTTGAAAGTTGTGGGATAAATCAAATGCTTTTCTAGGGAAACAAGAAACAGTATTAATGAGCAACAACCCTATAATTACCCTTGTGAGTACATAACAGGGACACATTCATGTCTTTTCTTTGCGCAATAACTTTTACAAAGAAGTATTTTTAAACTGATCATTAATTTTATTACCCCAGAAATGAGATGCAAAATTTATGCTGTTGTCATTGGCACAGGCTCAAGGCACCACTGACATTATGTGTGATTGCAATAGAATGGCTGCCAACTAATGATTCTGTAGACATTTCCTTTGAGTGTGCTTTTCTTTTCGATGTCTGATTAGTCTGTAATGCTTTCAATTATGTCTGTAAATTGTGTTGGATACGTTTACCTGATATTCATTGTTGATTTGATTTGGAATTCAGTTTTTTATTACATCAACACAAGTTGAACATTTTCCTTTTAATTTATAGAACTCTTTTCAGGTATAGCTACAAACAGTCCCTGGGGAGGAAAAATGCTTTGCACTACTCAACAGCGACCCCTGGGTTAACTAAAGCTCCCTAGAAGCAGCAGCATCAAGGAGGGGTGGGGGTGGGGGGTAAGGAAAGCTGGGGGTGGGGAGAGAAGGATGTATCATTCTTGGAAGGAACAGTAAGATGAAGAAGATCACAGGGTTGGGGGAAGGAATGTGTTCTTTCAACTTAATGCATATGATAAAAAGAGAATAGCACTCTAAAAATATCATATAGATTTTTAAAAAATTTTCCAAGTGAATTAATGGAAATCTAGGGGTGGGAGGAGCAAGGAGGAAAGTACTTAGTACTTACAATATTTGTAAAAGTAATACTTAATTTATTAAATATCATATAGATTGAACATTTTATACTAACTTCAATTTTAAATATTGGGAAACTGAAGACAATTTTACTTTAATATATAATCTGAAAAATGCTACAAAAGTTCTGAAAATGACCAATGTATGAAATAAATATTCTTACAGAACATATTATTGACTTTATGGCTTTAATTCTTTTGCTGTATATAATATATATGTCAAATATAGATGAGCATGTGTGTATGTGTGTATATGCACATACATAAACATAAAATGTATTATGGATATTATCAGATAATAAACTACTTGTGATTTTCAAAACTTCAGAAATTTTAATTTATTATTTCTTTCTACATACAATGTAAGATATTTAACATTTTTTTCAAAAAATTTTCCATATATTTTAAAGCTTAAAAATAGTTGTAAAAAATAGTTGTAACAACATACATAATATGTTATGTGCTAAATTCTGGTAATGTATTTATATATTGTAATTTTTTTATTCAGCAAGATTTATTTTTAGAGTGTGATAGGAAATACTTTTTAGGAAATTTATAGCATCATAATTTTTCCTTCATTAAGAATAGAATAATATTCTAGCACCTAAGAGTAACTGGGAATTTTGTGACCTTTGCTACTGCACATTCATAACATGTTCAAAATATTTCAGTAGCACATTCCTTCTTATCTTTGAAATCAGGGTGTTGTTTTCTTCATAAGAGAAATATTGTAAGGGATCATTGAATGTTCTGAAAAATACTTGGAACATTCCTAGAGAAAGATGAAGTCTGAAGAGCCTGTTGTGTTTGTGTGTATTTCTTGGAGTTTTAATTCCAGTGAACCAGTAAATGATTATTTAGCCTAACTAGCCAGGAATCACAAAGAATACAACCCTTTAGTGGTCAGTATTCTCCCTTGACTTCATGAAAGATGTCACTATTTTAACTTATTTGTTATTGTTTTTGGATAATGATGATGATTGCTCATGAGCTAGCAAATTATAGGGAAATAAAATGAATGTGTAATTTTAAAATTATTTTGATAATGTTATCTTGGGAAAACTATAGTTCCTTTTACCAAAAAATATTGTGAAAAATGGAGTGATAGCAAATGGGAGTCAGAAAATATAGACATCCTTTTGGAATGCTAGAAGCTTTAAAGTGTATATGCCCAGGAACTATGAGGCAAAAGCAATACTCTTGGTACTGGGAATTTTCACCATGCCTTTTGAGTAATCCCTATTGGGGCTAGATTTTTCCTCAAGTTGATAACAGGTAACTTAAGTTGTTAGCAGATAATTGATACTGTATTAAACATACATTTTTCTTTGTTCTTGAATCAATGTGAAAAATAAGTGCTTGTGTATAACTGGTCTAGCAAATAGCTGATTTAGTATTTTTTATTGTTTTTTTTTTTAAATCTCTGATCCAAGTTATTGTATGTGGGAAAATGTCAAAATGAAAAATTTTTAAAAATTATCAAAACAAAAGAAAAAGGTTATGAAAGAGGGATAAAGAGATTTTTTTTCTTTCCTAGAGCTACATGATAAAAGTCCAGACTACAAGATCTTCTCATAGGGATTAAATAAGCCAAAACAAACAGACAGCAAACAAATAAACCTGGGACTGGAAATCAAGTAGGGAACTGGCCAGAGCATTAAAAAAAAAAAATCCAGTTATTGAAAACTATGAGTATTTGTAACTCATCTTGTTTGAATTTAAAAAGATTATATTAGTTTTAAAGGAATTTTCCCATAGATGATTATTATTCTAGCAAGTATAGTTAAAAAACAATTGATTCGGATGTAATCCAGTAGCTTTTAATGAAAATGAAAATGTGTTCATATGATTTCAAATATTGAATTTCTCATAATTCTAAAAATGTTTAAAAATTGAATTACTTAAATTATTTTCTTTTTTCATACTTTCTATTTCTTGGCTTTTGTTTGCTTGATTTGTATATGTTTATTATTTTATCATGTTCCTATTTTTTGAATTTCTCATGGAGACAAATATGTTAGACTTTATTCTTTTCTGTCACAAGTAAGCAGTTTTCTACTGACCTTGAAAAACCATATATATTTACATTATGATGGATAAACTAAAGTAGGATCTGATTTTACCTGGTTCACAATCTTTTCTTTATTTTTGGGTGACAGTGACCAAATTTAATGGTAGAACTTACTGCTCCTGACAATCTGATTTTACTGAATTCACAATGTTTTCTGTACTGTTGTGTGACAGTGACTGAATTTAATGGTAGAACTTACTGCTTCTGACAAATTAACATTATTTCAAATGGACAAATCATAAAAGGTATTTCTCCGATTCTTTGTAGGTAACATAGAAGAAGGGGAAGAATATGAAGATCCTTTTACTGGGGCTCCAGACACTATTTCCTTAGCCTCAGAGCGGTATGATAAGGACGATGATGCCCCTTCTGATGGTATGTGATGTTTTCCCATATAATATATCTCTGAACCCTTTCATGCAAAGTAATGCTATATGCCCAGAGAATGGTCTTACCAGAAGGCCCCAGACAGAGTCTTTGGTTAATTCACTTTTACCAGAACCTTTGAAGGAACAGAAGAGCTCTCTCTAGTGGTCCTAATTGAGGTTTCCCTAAGTATGTAGTAACTTCCCATGTAGTAACTTCTTTTTATGTGAAATTTTCTTTGCTAGAATTTTTAAGAGCATGCTTACACCATGATATGAAAATTATTAATAAGTTTGTTGGTTAATCTAATATCAGATTCTTGCTTAATTTTATTGTGCTTCATAACTGCTTATTGTATTATTTATTTTATAAATAATGAAAAAGGTTTTTCATTTTATTTTTTTCTGAAAAATTTATACAAAATGAGTTCATAAAATATTAAATTAATTATTCCTACATTGTCTTCTCATATTGAGACATTTTTATCAAATGCTTCTTTTATACACATTTTCATTCTTTCGATTGTGATTTAAAAATGCTCTCTATGTCAGAATAAAGTGTTTTGTATTAATCAAATTAGTAATAAAGTTGACTATGTTTATCTTAGTAGTTTCTTAAAATTCCTGATTATTGCCAAAGTTAGGAAACTTGTTTTAATTATATAGATGCATTTTCTGTTACAGTCAGTTAAGTGCATTTGCACTATAGAAGCCTTATAAGGGTGATGTGAAGTTGTAAATTAAGAATATGTATCGATAAATTATCCATACATATTAATTTGAAGCACTCAAAGTTTCACTAAGACATAGAAGTGAGTTATGCCTTCTGCCACTATATGATGATCAAGCTGTGTAGTTCTATCTCTAAATACAATTGCTGAATGAAAATGTGCTTCCTGCAACAGAGCACTCCACACTTTATGTTATCCAGATTATTCCCTTTGGAAACATAAATTGCTTTTATGAGGTATAAAATTATGTCTATTGCAGAACAGGGATAAGTCAAGTACATGCATAAGTGATAAACATTCTAACCACTGATTCAGAACAAAATAATCTTTTCTTTTTATATATAGAACTTTATACAATGTGTAGCAATAATAATCATATCCATTTTATATTGAATTTTACACTTAATTTTTATTTTTAAAGGAGGAATATTTTCACATGATTCCCTTGTATTTTTTACAAAGACTTCTATTTCTCTTCATGCACACTTATTATACCAAACAGAGTTATTTTTTCTAATCTCATGTTCAAAAGCACTTCTGCTAGAGAGTATTTTGTAATTGAAGAAATATTATTTTCAGGTAAAACAATGGATTATTCGAGTTGTACTATTTTTAGATACATTACAATTTTATGCTTTGTTTTTCTGTAAAATATTGGTAAATGTGAATCAGTGTGTATACTCATATAGAAACAGAGTATTTATACTCAAGAGAATTAACATACATATAGAAAGTATTCACAGAATAGATATACTGAGTTTCTCAAAATGGCCTAAATATTTTCATGTAAAGTTGGTATTATGTTCAGTATAAAATATTTCAACTTAAGTATCCATAGTATATGAGAGCCAGAAATCCTCTTAATTACTATAGTGCATTTATAGGATTATTGTGTTACTTTTTCTGAGTAAATAATGTTTTCTTAATCATATGTAATACATTTAAGTCGTGACAAAAATTGTTAAAAGATTGCATTATCAATATTAATTGACATATTTAAGTATAATCTTAATTAAATATCAGTGCTAAATATATTGTATATTTATTAATGTTTAATCTTTAAGTAGATTAGAAATTTAACTTTTAGTATTATTCATTTTTGACACATAAAATGATTTTAAAATAGTTTTACATTTAATTATTAGTAGAGGTTAATTTTCAAACTACCACTTGGACTTTTAATTTCCACTCTAGAATATCATCTCATTGCATATTTTTTCCCTGGAACTTTGACTTTTGTCTATGTTCTCTTTTGTTGAATAAGATTTCCTCTCTTATGTGACTTCAATCTAATGAGGTATTAATTATAAAAAAAGAACACATTTAACAATGTATAACCAATTTAGCACAGGTCACTGAAAGGCCTTTTGTCAGATCAGATTGTTATTTTGTCCTTTTGACTTTTACCTTATGGTAGGCACTAACAAAGTATCTGAACTTTGATGGATTATAAACTCTAAGCATGATATGTATTTTTCATAATGCTAATGTAATTTTCAAGGTACTGGAAAGGTCAAACCTGCACATCTCTATGTGCATTCTAAGTCTGTCTTTCCTTTTAATATTTCTTTTTCTCTGTTTCTCTGGTTCAAAAGTTCACTCAGTTCCCAAATGGCCACCTAATTTTCCAGTTATTCCCTCAAGCCATATGTGTTTTGGTTTCTTTATGGTTTATTAGGTACTGTAGGAAAGTAGCATAAGTTATATCTTCTAATGAAATTCAAGCACACTTCAGTGATGCTTCGACTTGATTGCTGGTAGCAATTAAATCACAGCCAAAGAGAATAATGCATAATCTCACAAGGTCCAGACACCCTATAGAAATTGAATGGGGATGATAGCAGAAAGCAAAAACAAAATCTCCAAACTCTGCCAGACATGTTGTTTCCTGCCTGCTTTTTTTTTTTATTGGCCAACTGCCTGATTGATAGCAAAATCATAACTTGCTGCATGCTAACAGGCAGAGTTCACTTGTAGGTTATTGTGAGCTGATAAAGGGTTAGATGGAGTTTTGATTTTCGCATTGGACCTTGGTACACCAGATTAATGGAATTTCAATGAGAGACTAGAGTGGCCACAGCTTTGTCAGAGAAACAGATGGAGATTCTATAGTCATGTCTACTCATTAATACTCGTTGCCTGAAAGGTATGCTGCTTTTCTATACAAAAAGAGTTGATATAATTGATTTTTGAGTAGTATAGTGAAAAAAAAAGTGTTTTATTGATGACTAGAAGTGTAACATGAATAATGACAGATTTTTTTGTGTAGTTTGTAACATAAAATAATTATACTTTGTAATTTTTTCCCTCTCTTTGGAAACACTTATTTTTAGAGGAGAAGTGTATTTTTGAGACCAATAGAGAAAGAAAGAATGTCACATTAAATTGCCTTTTAGGAAAAAGAACCAGAATCTATATTGGATATATAAATGATAGTATGGCTGTTGCCAGAGTTTTATTTTGATAAGATATTTTTTAAAAAAGCCTACTGATTAGAAGCTTTATTTTTATTCATTTTATGCTTTATTTTTTTCTGGAAAATTGAAAAAAGCAATTTTAGATAATTTCCAGACTATTATATATCACCGTTAGAAATTTTATGCTTACTGTGTGGCTGGAGACATATTGGGATGTTAATGTAATTGGTGTATCAGATTTGAGATAATGAGATTTAAAACATCAAAGAAGAATATCCTATACTGAACATGTTACAGTGTTTGGGCACTAAGGTGGTAGATGTAGAGTAGCAATTTGAGATTGTATAATGACTTGAATCTTATCTTTTCTATTCTGAAATAATTTTTCATGTATTTTCATCATTTGTGAAAGAAAGCTTCTAAGCATACATATAGCATTGTAGAAAGTCCCTGAGGTAGGGTAAAAGGATTCAGTGAGCTAGAAGACATATATTGGCTCTGCTCATCAATGATAGGTCGAAGGATCCCAGTGGACAGTTGTTACAAATCTGATTCAGTCCTAGACCATAATCACTTTGTGGATAAGAATCTGGAACCTCTAGGGTGTGCATATAGGAAAGTTAAATTGAAACTGAAGGTATAGAAGAGTCATTTGTTGTCCTAAGTAAAAATTCCCAAATAAAATAGATTACCAAGAGCTATGTGCATTGGCAAGGACAGAGGCTTAAGTGAATCAATATTTTTTTTTAGGATTGAAGCCATTTTTAAAGCTGTGGGTTAAGAAAAAGGCTTATTTTGATCATAATTTATAATATCAAAATAGCTTTTTGGTGTATCTTTTTAAAATAAATTTACAGTTATAAAAATTTGGATTTATAAAAGTGAATTGCTCTGGGTGCTGATGGCTCATGCTAGCTACTCAAAAGGCAGAGATCTGAGGATCAAGCTAGCACAGGCAAGAAAATTCGTGAGACCCTTACTTCCAATTAACCACCAAAAGAGCAGGAAGTGAGCAGTAGCTTAAATGGTAGAGTGTTAGCCTTGAGCAAAAGAGCTCAAGAACAGCACTCAGGTCTTGAATTCAAGCCCCAAGACTGCCCCCTCTCCCCAAAAGGAAAAGAAATGTGAATTATTATTCCAAAAGATTTAAAAAGGACTGTCTCCAACATGTCTACAAACACTGAACTTGAACGCATGCACAAACACATAAATGTAAAGTTCCAAACTTGTGAGGAAGATTTTTTTTGAGGGGGGTGTTAAATTAGGTGCAGCACTGTTCAGTTCTTGTAAAAAACTAAGAAGTAGGTATTACTTTTCTCTTGATACTGATAGAATATGAAACAGTTGATAACTAGAGCAAAAAAAAAAAGATTAGAATGTTGTTTAAATCATAGTATCTTGTGGGTTTTCATTGTTAAAATTATATTTTTGTATTTTATTCTGATGATTTGCTCTTTATTTATTTGTTTGTTTATTTATTTTTTTAGTTGGTCGTGGGGCCTGAACTCTGGGCCTGGGCACTGTCCCTAACCACAGCAACTCTCTGGCTTTTTCTGCTATGTGGTGCTGAGGAATCAAACCCAGGGCCTCATGCATGCAAGGCAAGCACTCTATCATTGAGCCACCTTCCCAGTCCTATTTACTTACTTATTAATTGAATGGTGCTAAGTATGAACTTAGGTCTTTGAACATGACAAGCAAGTAATCAGCTACTGAGGCACACCCTCCCCGCTATCAGTTTCTAGCTGATTATATTTGTCACTTTTATTTTTAAACATTTTTTTAGTTGTTCCACTATGTCAAATTGCCAGGTTGTGTTTAGCATATAAATAATCATTCAACAATAATTATTTTAGTAATTT